CCCAAACACCACAGGTGTCCAAGAAAAAAAAAAAAAAAAAAAAAAAAGCTATGACAAGAACACAATTGAGCTCTTTTTCCCCTTTTCTTAAAACTTCAACAAAGGCAGGATCACCTCAACCGATAGTACTTTGAAAAACAAAGGAGAATGCAGTGAGGGAAACTACAGGATGAAGAAATATCCCAAACTCAGTTCAATTAACATCGATAAAAAATTCTCAGACGTGACTAAATATGTTTATCAACTGTTGCTTCATAAAGTTGCTTGCTTGGGTCAGCAATATGTCAATTGCAAAAGTAGCAAGTGATTTATAAAATTTAAGAAACTCACTTCCTCCCCAGTTGATACATATCTCCGGGTAATATTTACTTTTTTTAAAAGCAGTTTCAAAATCCTTGGAGTGTCCGCTAGAATTTTTGATCGGGGGTCAGGGATGCTACGGAAGGAAAGCCAAAAAGACGTTAAAAGATATTTGGCTTTTTTCCAGTTGCCAACTGCGAGGATAAAGTTAAACTCGCTGAAAATGAGTACGAGAAGTCTCAAGAATATTTCTATCAACGAGAAGAAACGAAAGGAAGAGTTTCAGGAGAAAATCTAAGCAAAATTAAAGGGAAAAGGCTGTAAAGACAAAAAGATTAATTTTTAAAAGGAGGGGGTATGTGTGAAAAAGAAGGAGAACAGCATGGGACAAAAGGAAGGTTGGCTGAGTTCTAAGCAGAGGTTTGAATGAAAAGGTCTCTTCTCCTGTCTGAGACCGCAGAGGGCCGCTGGTGGGGCCAAAGGCCACGCAGTGGTGGGTCAAGGTGGACGGATTAATTTGGAGGGTTGAGCCCCCCTGTCCCTCCACCTCGTCCTCTCATAGCCAGGGTCTCGGTACCAAGCTTCCAGATGTGTGCCAAGGAGAGAGGAGCCACGATATCGCGGCTTCACGGAGAACAATAGGCTGGGGAGCGGCACAGGGCCGAGGCCTCCCTCCGGGACGACCACCATCCCGCCTCCCTCATCGCTGTCCCAGACTCACAGAGTCTTGGGCATTTCGTCCTCCATGGCTGCTGCTGTCGCGGTGGCGCCTCCGGGTCCAGCTCCCTGCCCTTCACTACCTCCCGAATCGTTTGAGCAGCTATGGCTGCGGAATACCGGGGTCCCTCGGCTGACCGGAGGTTTCTCCGCCTCCCTCTTCCGCGGCAATTACACTAAACCGCCCGGCCCAACGCGAACAATGAAGCACCATACAAGATGGCGGCGCGCCGGGAGCCTAGGAGCAGCCAGCGAAATGACCCGTCCGCGCAGGCGCAAAACAGTCGTGCACGCACCCTCCCGGCCGCCCGGTTACACCTCAGGCCATAGGTTCACTTGTTGCGCAGCCGCTCTTGCACCCTGCGCTGGGGATGTCTCAGACTGCGCAGGCGCGAGGGTTAACTATTTCAGGACGTGGGTGAGCTTTGTAGTTCAGCTCCAGATTCGAACGTTTCAACCGTGAATAATAGTGAAATATAAACCCGTAGGAAGTTATAAACCCTAAATACCTCCTAGAAGGAAAAGTTTAAGAAAACGTTTCAAATTATTTCATTTTTAAGGAAGCAAAAGCATGTTGCGCCGCCCGGGAATCGAACCCGGGTCGCAAGAATGGGAATCTTGCATGATACCACTACACCAGCGGCGCTGACGGTAGAAAGTTTCTTCCAAATCGCTTAGGAGTAAATCCAAGCGGTTATTCTTGTCCAGATGAAAATGGATTTTACTTTATTTCGGTTTAGCTAAAAATGAAAATATATTGACAGTTTATAATCTGTTCTTTTTCAATGTTTTGAGAATGGATTTATCTTCTCTCATCCCATTACAGTTGAATGGATATTTCTATACAAAAAAATCTCTTTTTTACTTAAAAAAGGAAGGCTTTGCAGGGAAAATATTTCCAGATGTCAAAGTTTTCTTTATATTGGTATTTCTTTGTTACACTCAATATGCATTGAAAAGCATTTAAGAAATTATTATTTAGTGCAAATTGGTCACAAGAATCTAAAAAGGAAACGAATGAGAAGATACATGAACATCTGTCCTCTTAGGGGCAGAGACATGAGGACTCTGAAATGTGGTCCAACGTCCTCATGTATTTCATACTACATTTTATAAGTTACATGAAAGGTAAAATCTACATATTCCAAAAGACATCCTCTTCAAAGTAGCTCCCTTAGAGTTGGATACATTTTGAATTTGTTTTTTTTTTTTAAGATATTTATTTATTTGTTTATTCATTCATTCATTCATTCATTTAGACCAGAGAGAGACAGAGTGACAGAGAGCGAGGGAAAGTAAGAAAATCAAACTGTGGTTGGCCATATGAGAGTCCAGCCAGCTCCCTTAAGCACCAGGTTACCAAGCGGCCCCATACATTTTTGATTTCTATGTTTGGAAATGTCTTTGTAGTTCATAGAGATTATATTCAACAATATCAAGTATTAATCTTTTGCGGATAAGTAAGATGAATGTTAAAAATAGATTACTATCCACTATTTTTTTTTTTTTGAGAGATTTTCACTGTAGGGCGCGAGCGCTCGCCAGACAGAGAGAGACATAGAGACAGAAAGCGAGAAATCACCCCCCAGGGGGGATGGTCACGCCGCAATTCCTTCTCCTCCATTCTCCTCTCGGGATCTTGGGCACGCACGCACACGTGCCCGGCGTGAGATTTAAGCCACCGGGTCCGAGACGCGAACCGCGGTCGTCTACGTGGGAGTCCAGCGACATAGCCATTACGCTAACTGCTGGTTCCCTATTCACTTTTTTTTTAAGTTGTTTTACTTAACTATTTATTTATTTAAGTTAAAATTTTCTATTTTTATTTATTTATATTCGGAGAGTTTTTTGTTTGTTTGTATTTTGCTGTAGGGCGTGCGCGCCCGCCAGCAGACAGAGGGAGACAGAGAGACAGAAAGTGAGAAATCACTCCCCAGGGGGGATGGCCACACCGCAATCCCTTCTCCTCCACTCTCTTCTCGGGATCTTGGGTGTGCACGCAATCCCTTCTACTCCACTCTCCTCTCAGGATCTTGGGCATGCACTCTCAGGATCTTGGGCACGCACACACATGTGCCTGGCGTGAGTTTTAAGCCACCGGTCCAGGACTCAAACCGCGGTCGACTATGTGGGAGTCCAGCAACATAGCCATTACGCCAACTGCTGGTCCCTATTTATTTTTATTTTTGAGAGTTTTTTGCTATAGGGTGCCTGTGCTCACCAGAAAGACAGAGGGACACAAATCACCCTCCAGGGGGAATGGCCACGCCAGGATCCCTTCTCCATTCTCCCCTCGGGATCTTGGGTACGCAGGCACATGCGCCCTGCATGAGTTAAGCCACCAGGTCTGAGACTCGGACCGGACCGTAGTCCACTACATGGGAGTCCAGCGACATAGCCATTAAGCTAATTGCTGGTCCAAATTTTATTTATTTATTCATCTATTTCAATTTGACCAGAGAGGGACAAAGTGAGTGATAGAATGAGTGGGAGAGAGAAAGTGAGAAAGGAAGTCACCAGGTCTGAGACTTGAACTGTGGTCAGCCTTGTGGGAGTCCAGCGACCTTAACAACTATGCCATCTACAGGCTACAACTATCTATTATTTTAACACCTTTTTGAGACACCCATTTAGGGTGGTTTTTTTTTGGAGAGGTTTTTTTTTTATTTGCTATAGGGCGCATGTGCTGGCCAGAAAGAGACAGAGAGACAGAAAGCGAGAAATCACCCCCCCAGGGGGGATGGCCACGTTGCAATCCCTTCTCCTCCATTCTCCTCTTGGGATCTTGGGCACGAACGCACACGCACTCGGCGAGTTTAAGCCACTGGGTCTGGGATTTGAACTGCTATCGACTATATGGGAATCCAGTGACATAGCCATTATGCCAACTGCTGGTTTCAGGACATTTTTTCTTTAAGAATTATTTTATTTTATTTAACTTTATTTATTTATTTTAATTGACTAGAGAGGGACAGATTGAGAGAGAGAGAGAGGGGAAAATGAGAAATCAAGCCACCAGGTCTGGGACTCAAACAGTCATCAGCCATCTGGGAGTCTAGTGCCTTAACCCCCGACACCACCTGCCGGCCCCTAGGGTGGTTTTTTTTTCAGCGATTTTTATTTACAGGGGTATGTAACTATCACCATAATCAATTTTAGAATATTTTCATCACCCCAAAAGGAAACTCTTATCAATTAGTACTCTCTCATCTCACTCCCCAGCCCACTAATCTTTCTGTCCTTATAGATCTTTTATTCTGGACATTTCAAATAGATGGAATCACAAAATATATGATTCATTGAAACGTTTCTCTTTCCTTTTTTCAGAAAAATTTTTGGTATAGTGAGCACTCACCAGAGAGGGACAGAGAGACAAAGTGACACTGAGAAACAAAGTGAGAAATTACCCTCAGAGTGGATGGCCACACCACAATCACTTGTCCTCTTGGAATTTTGGGCATGCACACGCATACACACATCAGGGCTGATGTTTTTCTTTTCTTTTCTTTTTTTTTTTTTTTGCTATAGCCACCGGGTCCGGGACTCGAACCGCGTTCGGCTACATGGGAGTTCAGTGACAAAGCCATTACGCTAACTGGTGGTCCCCATAAGGGCTGATTATCAAACCTCCGGCTCCGGAGTTCTAACTGTAGTAGATTATGGGGGAGTCCAGCGCCGTAACACCAAGCCACCTGCTGGCCCCTGTATCCGTCACTTAAATATCACCTTTTTGTCAATTAATACTAGGACACTAATTATAAGCCAAATGTTCCTTTTCTTTTTTTAAAATTTGTATTATTATTTAACTTTCTTTGCTTCCTTATTTATTTTTAAAATTTGACCAGAAAGGGATAGAATGAGAGAGAGAGAGAGAGAGAGAGAGAAAGCGAGCGAGTGAGAAAGCGATAAATCACCTCCCAGGGGGATGGTTGCACTGCAGTCCTTTCTCCTCTGTTCTCCTCTTGGGATTTTGGTATTTAACTTTCTTTGCTTCCTTATTTATTTTTAAAATTTGACCAGAAAGGGATAGAATGAGAGAGAGAGAGAGAGAGAGAGAGAAAGCGAGCGAGAGAGAGAGAGCGAGCCGCCAGGTCCAGGACTTAAACCATGCTCAGCCATATGGGAGTTCAGTGCCCCTAACCACCACACCGCCTGCTGGCCCACCTTTTCTTTTTTTTTTTTTTTAGAGGCTTTTGCTATATGATGCATGCACCTGCCTGAGAGCTTGAGAGACTGAAACACACACAGACAGTGAGAGGGAAAGTGAGAAATAACTCCAATTCCTTGCCTCCATTGTCCTCTTGGGATGTAAGGAACACACACACCTCCACATGAGCAGCATGATTTTCAAGCCACCATGTCTGGGACTTGAACTGTGGTTGGCCCTGTGTGGGAGTCTTGAGACATAACTGCTACGCCATCTATTGCCCACCTCCCCTAACATTCTTCTTAATGCATGCATAATATTTTTTTTTTTTTTTGGAGAGATTTTTTTTTTTCACTGTAGGGCACGTGCGCTCGCCAGACAGACAGAGACATAGAGACAGAAAGCGAGAAATCACCCCCCAGGGGGGATGGTCACGCGCAATCCCTTCTCCTCCATTCCCCTCTCGGGATCTTGGGCACGCACGCACACGAGCCTGGCGTGAGTTTTAAGCCACCGGGTCCGGGACATGAACCGCGGTCGACTACGTGGGAGT